TTTTTTTGGGGGGAAGCCGCCCGAAATGTCAACCATTGTGCGATACGCAAAACGCTCTCGTTTTTGCAGACAAAAAAATTTTTTTTTTTTTTTTCCTAAAACAATTACTGGTTTTATTTTTCTGGGCATGAAGCCAGCAAAATATTTTTTTTTTCATTAAAATTAAAAATGGTCACCAGACATGGTTGTTCGATCTTATCTGAAAACGCCCTTCTGCTTGCTGTACCCTAAATAACAAATGCAGGGGTGAAACTATTAGGTTATCAATATCTGACCTGTAGCTCTTGCAAAAGTGACAAAACTTTTCTGAAAATTAAGCACTAAGTAGCACAAAACCGTTTTGTATCAAAAATGGTTTTGATGCAACTAAAAAGTAATTCATTAGTTTCACCCCCTGGGCCCGTTTGCGCGAAGCTGGTTAACTCTAACCGCGTTTAGAAGTTGACCGCATTTCCCTACAAGGGGGAATTTTAGGTCACGTGACCGGCAGAGTAAGGACAGTGGGGAAACATGGCGGTACCCCGGTGAGTGAGCGCCGCTCGCTTTGTAACTGATATGTCGTAGCTGCAATATTGGGCGCGTTAGTCAGCAGTGAACGGTGCAGGAGGCTTTCGCTTCACCTTAGCTGACTTAAATCGCAAAGCATGAGCAGTGACCTCGCCGAATTTTTTAGATAGTCTTTCGATTCTGGCCATTCCTAAGCCTAAATTAATGTGATAGTTGTCGGCATGGCAATGTCTTTGGAAAGTGGATTGCCTTGGCTCAATCGGCCGGGTATTGATAGCACACAAAAGCAAACAGCGTTCCCATAGACCTTTTGATAAATTTCCCAAGCACCGAGGTGCATGCTACGAGTGTAGTTACACGTGCTGCACATGCCTGACGTCTGCAGTAGTAACAGTTCTAAAGCAAAAAGCCGAAAACAAATTTTGTCTCGCGCGCTTCATCAAAGACTTATTATGATTATTTACTTTGAATCTTTTATAAGGGGAAGGCTAGCGCACGCGGCTCATAGAATTACACTTCCAGCGTTCTCCTCGATGCTTAAGTAATTTACTATTGTCAATTTTCACTGGAGCCGATATACAGGTTTTTCAATTTATGATGGTGTTATATACAATTCTTACATGCCGACCGACCAAGCTGCCGGTGTATCGCTCGCCTTTCACTGCTCACTTCTCCCTCATAGTTTCTAGGACTGAACTTCGTCGTCCTCTTCCGAACTTTGAAGAAAATTTCAACGAGACTTGTCTTCACTTCAAGTAGCTAAATATACAGAAATTTCCCAAACAAGAGTTAATTTAGTTTTACCTTACCGATTATCTGTACCATGAGCAATAAAAGATATTTCTTAAGCTATAATGTAAGCACCGTTGCGTCACGAAAACCCGCTAGCGCGCATTTTTGGGTCGCCCCTTTTCGGGAACTTTTCCACCGAAGTCACTTACATTCGCTACAACCAGTAGGTGACATCAGCTATCACCCCATAATAAAACACGGAGCATTGCTCATCCAGCCCTTGTCAAACTTGACTAGGTACTTGTAGGTACCTAGTAGGGAAGGGCGGTTAACTTTTAACCGTGGTTAAAGTTAACTGGCTTTGAGCAAACGTGCCCTGGGGGTATGTCTTAGGGCATTATACATCAAGTTCTATAATAATACGCTCCCCTCAGACCTAGGTCTGAGGGTATTTCACAAACCATCAACATGCAAAATCTAACTAACTAATGATCAGGAAAGCTGTAGACATTGTACAATTTAGCTTATTGACAAAGTAGAAAGCTGATGTAAATTTCATTGGCCTAACTCTGGTACTTAAAAAGTTAGTCTCAAAATCCAACTTCTGCTTTAAAGGGGTAGTGAAACGAAATTTTAGCGCCGATCTTGTTGCATAAATATGGGCTAGGGACAGGCACCACCTCGGAAATATAAATATTGCGCTGTAAAACACAGGAGAACTAATTTTAAACATAATTAAACAATTTCAAATTCTCATCTGGTGGATGGGGGGAAGTTCTCGTGACATCACTTGTGCCAAAATAGCAGCGCCGTTCTGCGGCAATACGGCGTGCCGGCAGAATTCGCCTAGGCCTGAACGCGTTTGCAAAGCCTTGGCGGAGAAAGCCAAAGCGTAGTTTGCCACAGTGAGCTCGTTCTCGTTGCGGCTCTTTGCACGACACGACCCGAGCATGCTTCTGGCATGGCCGGTATTAGTTGCTGCGAGTCGCGAGCTGCGAGCCGACGTTAAAAAGGATATGTTTGAACTACGAGGGTGTCAGCAAGAGCCACGCAAATACCTGTTCACACTCGGAGCGGACACGCGCGTTTGATCGAAGTGCTGGATTCGCTCTGTTAGACCGCGTTTCGGTAAGCGTTTCTGGACCGATCTTTTACGATTGCAACTCGATACTGACATGACACTCGGCAAAGAAAGGTTAGACCGACATCGCGTAGCTCCCACGAACTGCTATACACGAACTCATCTCTGTTACGTCACGGCGCGGTGGTGGCGCGTCGGTCGCACTTCCGGTCTGGAGCTGTGGGCAGAAGTCCCCATGCCAGACGTGTATTCCTGCGTTGTTTTGAAAGGAACGAGACAAAAACTTACCTTACCGTCAAAACGCCGCGACTGGGGCCGTACCAAAAGTGTCGAGAAAGGTTTGAAGGTCAGTTTTCACGTGCTCGGTTCGTCCGAGAATATGGATATGTGCCGTGAAAAGGGAAAAGCAAACGCCGTCGGACAACGATTGCTTGGGCGGGAAGCATTTTGGGTTGAATTCACGGATACTTGTGGTCATCAGATTTATTTGTTTTGTTCCAACATGAACGCCAGAAAACCGTCAAGTTGTGCGGACCACCTGCGGACTACGTTCAGTGAGTCTTCAAGTTCAAACGGCCACTTGATCGTTCGAATTGTCGTCTGCTCTTTCAAACGCTTCTGCTTGTCGTCTGCTCTCTTAGACGACGCCGGCCCGTAGACCAAATCTTGGCCCGGTACTTGCGATAAGAAGGAAGTGCACGCCTCAAAATACTTAAATTTGAAGGTTGGTAAGCAGGCTCGATGTAAACAGCAGATACAAGGATATGTTGATCATTGTTATCAGTGACCATCACCGACTTGCTAGGCCTGATTGGCATGGTCCGCTTCTGCTTTAGATTTTCAGTATCGACGTCGACCATCTCAGCTACGGTTCACGCTTTTGCAGCCCGAGCGACGTTGCGACTGAAAATTGCGAGCGAAATCTCATCATGTGAATCAGGCTTTACCGTACGTTCTGCGGCGTCCACGCGGAATGAATCGCCGCATGCCAGATTATTTCACGCGAATTTTTGCGGTGTAACGAGCCTCGTTAATTTCGCTGACGCTGCTCAAGTAGTCAGACATCGTTAGGAGGACGTAGAATCAACAGTTTCAACGCGAAAAAGAGCGCGGGGACTCACACCGGCGCCGACAACATCACATTTCAATGGTTTGTTTATGGGCGACGGCGAGCTTTTTGCCCACACCCCCATCGCGCATGCGCGGCGCCGGTGGCGTCCGCTAGGGGCGCTCCGGGCGCTCCGGTTTGTTTGTAAACATGAGTTGGTGTATAGCTCGACAGTGACGTAGCGTCGAGTCAGAATAAAAATGGCATACTAATAACAGAGTGTACATACCGAGTTGCGAAGGTAATCCGTATGGCGTTTATTTGAGCTCTATATCACACAAAACAAGGAGATAGAATCAATGAAAGTCCCTTTTCGACGACAGCGTTCGTCACCGCTGTCTCGGAAAACAAGGAGATCGAGATGACAAGGGGAAAATATTGACCTCTAAAATTTAGTTCAGGGATCAAACTACTCATCCGGTAAGGGTCCACAAGGGTCGCGCGGGCATATTCCATTCAGCAGGCCAGCCGGTCATGGACAGACGGTCTTGGCCAAGGACCGCCGGAGCAACGGTGCGCCGAGTCGATGTTGCTGCTAGGCCTACTATATTCTGCCGAGCTCGCTCGGTCGGCAGAATCGTGGCCGTTGTAGCTCTTCTCGTGTGTTTGTGGATCCTGCGTTCTTGATCGTCGTGGTCTGTTTTAAATACTCCTTCCTTTTTTCTTGCTGGTTGAAGTCGGGACGCACGAGAAGAGCACGTAGAAAAATAAATGTCCGTTAGTGGCCGATACCAAGTAACCGAGCGACGCTGTCGGCCTTGTTGATTTGATCGTAAAAAGTGCGTAAGACAGCTTCGGAGCTGTCGTAGGATTCTGTCGTAACCTGCGCAAAGGTTACGACAATTTCGTTTCGAGAGTACGGGTTTTCTCTCAGATTTGTCGTACGCACTTTTTCCGTCGTGAGTTCGCTTTGAGAATCCGGCCTCAGAGCTGGTTTTGTCAGTGCTGCCGTGGTTGCCGACTTGCCGTGGTGCAGCGTGCGTGCAGCCCTTGCACATCTCAAACGGCCATGTTGTCACAGGTCGTAAATCGTCGACGCGCCACCAAGTGGCAACGCTCGTAACCACAACATTCACGCCTTAGCCTTTCCTGTCTGGCACAAGTAACGTCACGAATGCGCCCAATATCCCAAGACGCATCGCGCTCTCCGATGGCCGATTTTTGAGCGCGCGCCCAATCGGGCCCATTAGGGTGAAAAATATAGCCATCCGTTCAAAATACAAATGCGCCATTATGATTTATGAATATCATTGATCATATTGAACCTATTTCTGACCATAATAGGTGTATTTCAAGTTTCGCTTCAGTATCCCTTTAAGATGCAGAAGTGCAATTTTGGTACCTTTAAGAGATCTGCACAGGTGCCTGTAGCCTTGCACTATTGCCCACCTTTGTAGTTTGATGTGCATGGCTGGCATTAGGTTGTGCTGCAGCTTGTTGCGAGCCGAAATGATATTGGCATTGGCAAGAAGCCTTTTAATTCCATTCTGTGTAGGGACGACACCACTTGACACTTGCAACATAGAGTTGACTTTTCTTGGATGCTTTCTTGTTCCTCTGGTGCACAAGCAGGATTTTGCACCGTCGGAGCTGGCGAAGCAGCCTGCGGTGCCGGATGTGAAGAGTGCACCTTCGGACCTGCTTGGCGACTGTGTCATGATGGAAGGCATTCCCTCACTCATGGACGAAAGCACCACCAACACCAAAACTGGCCTCATAGAGTCAAACTGGGACAGCCGACTCCAAGAAAGCGCTTCACCATCTGCAGAACTCGGGGTTCCAGGGCCTGCTAAACCGGTTTCCAGTGGGGGCATGCAAGTGGCTCTGCAGGACAAAGCCACGGTGAAACCGAAGTGAGCTTTTTGCTGTTGCTCGAGGCACCAGAGCTTCTCTGGTTTAGTCAATGGCAAACTTGCATGGACACTAGTGCTGAACAGAGGCATCTGCATTGCAGGGCTTTTGCGGAGCACTTGGAGACAATTGACACCGAGCTGGACTGGCTCCAGGACCAGTTGCTCAGCGGTGGCCTGAACCTGGACACATCCACGCTGCTGGGGGTATGTCCCGACTGGACAATGGTTCTTTCGGGAAACAACAAGGTAGATGGGAGTGGGATGGTGGCCCTTACCTCTGCCATGCCCACGCTCGGGTGTTGGCATGTGTGGGGGCTGCTCTTTCTCGCTTTCTATCCTCTGCATTCGCTGCTTGTCTCTTTTTTCCAAAGGACAGCCGGCACTACAAAGTGCAGTCGGCAGCAAAGGATTGTGCAGCGCAGGAGCACCAGCTGAAATGACTGGTTGCACCTTCTGACCATGTGCGGCCGCTCTCATGAGTAGCGCTTCAAGAATGTGCTTCCTTTCATGATCGCTGTCATGTCTTTTTTACAGTCCAACCTCGTTATAACGAAGTAGCATCGGGCGCGCAAATTCGTTCGTTATATCCAATATTCGTTATAAAAGTACTCAGAAAAATTTGTACAAACACAACGGCAATTGGGCCCGTGCAAAAAGTGCTCGAACATGCATAATGCTTAGATATAAAAACGGACTGTAGGGGAATTCGAATGCCGGTTCTCGTGCCGGTTCTTAAAGCGCTGAAGCCAACCGCTACTTGCCCTGAAGTCATGATGCCCCAAGAGGCACGCTAAACTGACGGCTTTCGTTTGCAGAAGAGCACCAGACACCGGCAAGTTTCGCGCTCTCACGTCCTTGAACCAGGAGAACAAAGCCTCTTCCACATCGGGGTAATGAGAAGGCCTGTCACGCTTTCTGTCGCCTTTCAGAGTGCTGTTGGCGTAGGTCTCTTCAATCTTCTTCCTCGAACTTAAGAGAGTAGACAATGTGCTGGGTGGGATCTTGAAGTCCTCCGCAACATCTTTCTTCTTGCGGCCGCTGTCAACTGCTCTTAAAATTTTAACTTTCGTCTCGAGAGACAGAGCTTTGCGCTTCAACGTCGCCATTTTCTGCTCCCAGATTGACTGACTGCCGTCGCTGTCGCTTTGGCACTCTAAATTTTAGTGTTTGATGACGCTTATAGGTGGGCCATCTTTTAGGGTTTATGCACCCGCTTCATAGATGGCGCCAGTCACCTCCCAAAGTGCTCGTTCGAGCGTTGGCAACGTTCGGTATCTTGAAAATCGGCACTGAATTTAGGTACATTGCCTTTTTACATGGTAATTTATAGATTTTATTTCTTTTTGTTTTGGTATTGCACATATTTCGAGCCGTGCGCGGCCGAAAATAATTTCGCTGTAACCGATACCGCGTAGGATTCCGTGGTTTCGGTTTCGTTTTAAAGGTCGAACTTCCATTGAAATAAAGCATAACCAACCAAAATTTATATTTACTTCGCTATATCCGATAATTCGGTATATCAGTGTTTGTAATAACGAGGTTGGTCTGTACTTGCTCCCGTCTGATGCTCACGAGATGACCGGCGCAAGGTGCTGCTTTGTCAGCTGTCATGCCAAACGTCTGCCTCAGCCACCATAATGGATGGGTGACGGAGTTTGCTTGATACAGATAGCATTTTGCTGCACCTTGCGCCAGTCCCTGCTACCTCAATTGCATTGAATGGCAGCGAGCGAAAAAAACATGACTGTGAACATGAAAGAAAGCACATGTGCAAAGCATTAGTCTTGAGAGCGGCAACGCGCTGTCACGAAGTGCAGCCACTCTTTTCGGCTGGCACTCCCGTGCCCAGCAAACTTTTGCTGCCGATTGTACATAAAAATCACTGTTTGTTCTTGTGCTTGTTGTATCTAAGTTTTTTGTACTATTATTATCATTATTGTTATTTTTATGGCGATTGCAGTAATGTTGCAAACGGAAAAGCCTACTCCCCTCACAATGGTATGGTTTTGATGCTAGCTTGTAGTGATGGGCCGAACTTTTCTAAAGATTCGGCAGAGATACATTCTTGCCAGACTTAAAAGTTGATTATGTGTTTTTCGAGTGAAAAGAGTTTTTAGGCGTTTCTTTAAATGCATTTTAACACAGTCGTTACTAAATAAGGTGATATTCTACAAAATAAATGTATCGGTGTCATTTTTGTGTGTTTACTAGCAATTTTACAGTGACTTTTTGCAGAAGTGGTGTGACAACGAGGTTGGTTGGTAGCGGGGTAGTGGGCGCAGTTGTGATACGCGAGTTTCGGTTTTGAGGCCTCATCAGCGCAACCCTGCAAATGTGTATACATTGCTGAGATAAAGCCTGTAACACTGTTCTTATTTCTCTGCGAGTCACCGTTTGTGCGCAAAAATGAATGCAACGGCTGCTGAGCCTTCACCAGAAGAGAAACTAATGTTAATGTAAAATGATTTTTTTTTCTTTTTTTGGGTGGGGTTTGAGTTGTTTAAGCTTTGCTTGGAAGTGTGGGTATCGCATTTGTCACATCTCGTTTTTAACTTCTAAAATTCCGGTTTCTGATGTTGGGACAGACGCGGACGTTTAGGAGTTAGGAATGTCGGATGTGCAACGTTGAGCGTGATAGTTCTGTGTTTAGTTTTATGAGGACATGAAAACCGCTAAATAATGCTGATTAAAAAGCAAGAATATTTTGTTTTGGCACAAACTACTTGCGTGCCGAGCACAGGATTGCTATAATGGGGACGAGTGCTCTGAGGTACTTGTCAATGTTGCAACTACATCGTGCATCACTGGTAATATAAAATGAAAATCACGTTATCTAGAACGTACCGCATCATTTGTAACTTGCGCAGTAGACTGTGTCAATTCCTGGTCGATCTTCTGTTCTTGAGGCAGAAAATATTGAAGAAACCCAACAAAGGCTGTCAAGCACACGCTCTTAGACATAACCACCGGTAGCACTACACTACGATTGGGACCGCACAGCATCCATTTGCAATCCAAGGTGCTGTCGCATTCTTGCGCCTGCGCAGGTGTTTGCCGAATCTTTGCGAACGTTTCTTTCAAAAGTTCTGCATGTGCCAAACTTTGCCGAATCTGAAGTTTGGCAGATTCAGTCCATCACTACTAGCTTGTTCTAGTTTTGTCATAGTTTGAGTGACAACCAGTTACAGTAGGTTCGAGATAATTCAAAGTCTGATACTTCATACTTCTGGTTAATTCAAACAAGTTTCAAAATTTTGTTTTTTTTCATATATTTTTAATGTATTTATAAGCCTCCTATTTCGAACGGCGTTTTCGTGCAATCCATACTTTTTGTTCTCGCGGCCCCGTTGAGCATGCATCTTGCCGAGCACCGGTGCACTTCAGAGAAGCATCACCAGCGGAGCTTGATTTCACGGGTGTTGCTTCTCGGCAGTGCACTGGTGCTCGGTAAGAAGCGCTCCCAATGAGGCTGATAGTCCACAATGGACAACTTGTTTGCTGGATGAACAAAGTTAATCTTGTTGTGAGGTATGCTGTGCTGTCTAAACAATCCAGAAGAGGCAACATTTTTTGGGGGACAAATTAACTTCTCATACATTTCGACAATGTTTCATGCGTGGCATACCTGCTTATGATTAGTAGGTCTGTGCAGAGGAGTCAAATATTTGCTTTGTATGTGTAGCCATCCATATAACAAATCATAATTTTGTCTTGCATCAGATTTAGATGAATGTTTGATCATTTAAACTAGTTGTGTGAAGCAAGGATAGTGGTGCGAAAAAGCGGATGATAATCAAATCATCCTCATTTTCCCTCCACTAGACCTGTGGTTGTTGCATGCTTGGTCATTTTAGTGCACCCCAGCGCCTCTCACGTGTCTCAAGTATCTAAAATATCTCAAATTGACTGCTTCGGTGGTTTCATATGATGCTCAGCAACTTCCTAATTCTAATGTGTTTATTTTCTCTAATTAAAAGCTATTTAACAAATTTCAATTAATTATCCAACGTAATGTGAGGAATAATCCCCTATATTATGTCCCCCTAGCCATATATAACTCGCCTGCACAAGTCACGTCAATGTACCTTTTCCAGATTTCTTAAAATTAATCGGTGAGAATTAAAATGATACACCCTGTATACCCTTGCAGCCCATAATTGAATTATCGGATAAATTTATGTTTGAATATAGCAAGTGGGGCTAGTGTCTGCCTGCTCTCAGCAGTTGTGTTATGGTCTGAGAAAACAACAAAAGTAGCTTCACAATATAGCAATTAACCCTAAATGGTTTTGATATAGCTGATATTCAGAATTGGTCAAATTCCGTAAAAGCAATCTTCTAGATTCTACCAGCTTGCTGCATCTCATGCAAGCATGTGGAAAGGAAGTAATTACAAACATGCCTTCTGGCATGTTTGTGCAGTTGCAATTTGCAATGCTACCCATGACGCTGGTATCACGGGTGGTGTCCTGGAGGTGATGTGCATACTGAAGGTCACTGTTCTGAAATACAAATGTAACTGAAATACAAATAAGTAAACTATTTTCTGACACTTTTTTTTTTTTCACATATTGTATTCCTGAGTTATATAATGACCAAGGAATGGTTGTGAATTATTTGTGATTAACAGCGCATACTTTGGAGGCTTTCCCCAGCAGACAAAGATGGCAGCACACACAAGGCGATTTTTGCAAAGATCTATAGTGAGCAACATATATCTGATTCTTGTAATACCACTAACATCCATTGCTTCCTTGGTTGCAGCTCTTTGCTCCCGAAGATAACCTGTCAAGCTGCTTGGGGGTATGCACCAGCACCCTTTATCTTTTTTTTGTAACTCTTCTGAACTTGTGAGAAATGCCTTTTCTTGCACGGTGTGCAGGTTGATGAACCGTGATCTTGTGTTTCAGGACCTTGCAACCGAAGGCAGAACATCTGACACAGTAGGTGAGTTGACTTAGATTTCAATTGGAAACCCAAAAAGTACTGGTGAGCTCTGCCCTAGTTTTGAAGGTCTTGTTGGTAGTGCTAATTACTGAGGGCCATTTCGTTTGCAGGCAATGAAATGGTTCAGTACACGCCGAGCCTATTGGATCTGGGTCTCGATGACGATCCCTCCTTCCACCAGAGCAATGAATTTCTGCTGTCTGACGAAGAGCTCAGTGCCCGGCCTGCCGAAGACTCTGCTGGTAGCAGTTCCAGCATTGGTGGCACTCTTAACCCAACCTCTGACAACCAGGGCAACCCCCTTTCGTCTGTAGACTCCAAGACCTATCCCTTCCCTCGAACCCCCTTCAAGAAGTCAGCGCCTGGCAAGAAGCGTCGAGTTGCCAGCAAGAAGTGAGGACTGCAAGCATTTGAGAGAAGCTTCACTTATGAAGCTTGTGTTGTGAGATGGACAGCAACAGTGAAAGACACTAAATTTTTTTTTCTTCTTTTTAAACAGCAGAGGCATTCAATGTGTTGAGCATAGAAGTTGGCTTGATCCTTGCATGGACAAGTGCAGGCGTCATAGTGCTAACCTTCAGCGTGGAGTTCAACTTGTTTCACACATGGTGTCCAGTTTCTGGGGACGGGCGGGCCCGAACGATGGTCGAAAACGATTCGGAAACTTAACCGAACAAAGCACCTGGAAACTTGACTAGGTCCATATTTATTAACTAAGAGAAGTGCAAGGAGATGCTAGGTGCCGATACTTTATATTAGCAACTGCAATGCGAGTTAGCAGCTTTTTGGGGTAAGCCTACATTGTTTGAGAGCTTGTAGCTGAATTTCCCAATGAAAGCACAGCAAGGCCAAAGCATTAACAATGGCCACTAAGTGTGGCCAAGCATTTGCAAGCTTAACCAAGACCCATATTTACTTTTATGGTAGTTGATGCAAAGTGTAAGCATCCGGTTTAGCACAGGAAACCCAATATAATAGTTTTCGTTAGTTTGCACTGTTTGTGTGACTGGATTGGCTAATAACATTGTAAGCATGCCTGACCAGCAAACATGGTTAGTTGGAAATGGTTGAAAGTAAGGCTGCTCTTCTGGATATAAAAGGTGGGGTCTTGCTCTTTTGTTCTTCCCAGGTAAGCCATTCTGCACCTGTGCATCATACAGCTGTATGTGTCGACTTGCCCACTGATGTAACCCGTGTGCTTGTCGTAGTGAAATGTGATGGTTAACATTAAAAGTTTGGAAGCTTTATCTGAGGTTTAACCTTTTTCAGTGACATGTGAATTCTCTGAACTTATGACATTGCCCCTTTGGAGGCATGAATTGCTCCTACTAAGCAATTCTCCTATTGCATGGTTCCTAAGTTCATATACTATTTCCAATTTTCTTTCTTTTGTCTACCTGTTCATGAAAAGTGGCTTTGTACACCTGTCCACTCATAGGGCTTCAGCTCCTACACTATTTATTGGAGCACATAATTGCTCCTGTTTCCAATTTGTTAGGTGACTTGAGAGAGGGATCTATTTAAGTTGTATAGTCTTGGTGAGGTGTATTGACCAGTTGTTTACTGTATTTTCCAGACTAGTCTGCAGACTATACATGTTTAAAAGTTGTTATTCTATGCTGTGTGGAATACACAATAGCCTGGTTTTCAAAATGGCTTGTTTTCAATGAGGATGATGATGGTAATTAGGATCTTGCCTGTGCAATTGTTGAGGTCATGCCAGGCATTAGCCAGAAAAGCTGAGACTGGTGTGTTTCCCAACACAAGTAGTCGAGCAGTTTAGTGACCAAAGAACTAGAGAAGTCTACGAAACGAAAGTGATTTCATTTAAAGGGCAAGCTTTCACAAGTTCGGCATGGATAGCCTTGTCGGCGAAAGGGCTAGAATTTTTTAATGTGTCCCTGAAATACCTTCTTTTGCGTGTAAATATTGTCCCCGAATTGCCTTCATCTTTATATTAAATTTTGAATATAGCCTGTAATTTGTTAATCAGTATATTCATGAGATAATTCTTATTGAACAACGTGCTCGGAGAATATTGTAGTTCTACGTTTCTATGATCACTGAAATTTAAAATTCCCTCAACATCTCTTTCTCAACATATTTCATTAAACGTCAGTAGTGATGCCTGTCAAAGCAGAGTGCGTGCAATACAAAGGCAGCCAGCATAAAGTGTGTGTGGCTCCCATGTGGTGGCACTAAGCAGCGCCAGTGTCTGCGGTGAAGACAACCTTTCACTTTGCAGGGAGCATACACACCAAGGAGGGTTTTGGTGGAATGGGTTATCATGCCAGTAAAGTGAGCCCTTGGCAGCCGCTTGCGTTAATCTTGCGAACTGTGGCTGGTTTACGAGGCATCCGAGATTATCGCTCTCTACAGATCAGTTGTACAAAGAAGCCATGGGCAGCAAAATGGTTTCGGACGGATTAAAACTCGAGTGAAAAATAGCATAAACCTAGACGTGTTATGTTAACTTTTAAATTGAGAGGCTTGATAATGATAACTATTTAAAAAAAATTAGAAATCTATTGACGGCACATTTGTAGAACACAAGATAAAGCAAATGTAACGCAATCAAACCCAATGGCCAAGGTATTGATCTCACCAGTGTGTGTCATCTGGTTATATACCATGGAGAAGAATGTCTGCAACAATTATCCTAGCTGCAAATGTGTATGTACAATGAAGCGTACATTGATCGTCTCACTGCTTCAACTTTTGAATGCGAGAAAGAGGCTTCCGCTTCTTGTACGCTTCATTTTTTTTGTTTCACTGAAAGCATAGTTTACTAGAAGGGACCTGAAGAACTTTGTGCAAATGAAATTAACAAATTCACGGCAACGAGCCTCGTTGGTTGGGCAGACTAGCAGAGGAGGGTTGTAGACTGTTGGCTCTGCGAACCTGGACAAGTGTCTCAAGGGGTTGCCGGTTCCTCACGTTGCATGATAGCACATCTGCCGTAACATTCTGACAATGTCGAGCAGATTAATTAGTTTGTCTGAGGGATACAGGAGTCCTCCTTGATCCAGATGCTTTGTAAGAGCCTGCAAATGGCTATTGGTCTTCGGTTTCGTCATATTACATGAGCACGAGAGGCATGCCAAGTGTTTGTTTATGATGCGGGTGGTGTAGCCTTCAATGTGCCATTGCAGATAACTCGAGGCTGCAGGCAGTGAAGTAGTCTGATGGCATCCCGTTATATTATTGACTTGCTTGTAGCCAGCTTGCTCGTTGGTCTGGGTTTGATGGTATTTGATGGTGTGTCACTCTTTCATCCTCAGCTGGCTTGCTTGTGCTTGAGGCACAAAGTGGTACGCAGTAAGAGATGCCTGAAACCAAACCTCAAAACCAAACCATTTTCTGTCTGCATGGAATAATGATTCCTTGTATATCTTAAATAATCTGGACTGTGATCTTTCGTCTTTGGCAAGCCTGACCTGTGAACCATCTCAAAGTGGCAGATAGGCTAGGTGTCAATGTTGTTTAGTATGGGTAAAAATAATAAAGTACCACTTCAAATAGGTCTAGAAAACTTGTACTTTACTTGTACATCCTCTGAGTATGTACTTGTAGTTGCAGCATATGTGAATGACTCGCGCACAAATTGGGATCAGTCGCTTGACGAAGCAGCCTTTGCCATTAACACCTCTCAACAGGAAACTCCATTTCAACTTATTTATGGGAGAACAGCTGAAGTATTTTTAATATGAAAGCATTAACTGTCCCATGGAGCGAGCTGACGTCATCAGTTTGAAGCTCAAAAATGGTACCTAGTTTCCGCGATTTCGCCATTGGTTCCATTGGCTGACGCGCGTCGACAGGGCTCCCATTGGCCGCTGCGCTCGTCAGTTTCCATGACCGCTTGCCCCATAGCACTGCGTGTCCAGCGCGCCGTTAACACTGAGCATCCAAGGTCAGCGTGCCGGGGGAGGATGCGCGCTGACCGACGACAAAAAGTAAGCAGCAGACGAAAAAAAGAGCGGACAAGCGGCTTGCATGCTTTCGCATTCACAACTCATAAGTGCCTAGGTGTACCTCGAGCTTTTTCTGGTACTTTCCGGGGAAAGGACAACTCACGACTTCAAAGTGCATTCCACAAATTTGGTCTTGTTAATTTTGTGTCACAAAATGATGCTTTGTCAACTCTGAAGAAAAACTGGGAGGGATATTCTGCTCTCACCAGAAGCGCAAGCAGACGACGCATCACTGTTCTAGGGGTGGCTTTCCGTAGCTTTTCAAACTCGCTGCTATTCGCTCGGATATTGCAAGCGAGGAGGTTAAAAATATTAGGAGAGGACAATTGAAGGGAAACTGAAGCGGTTTTTGTATTTGAGAAAAAACACCTAAAGGGCAACTCTGGTCAATATTTTTTTTAAAATTGGGATTACAAATGTTTTCAGATAAAGCGGTGCCCCTGAATTGAAAGGCGTGTGTTTGTATGTGTGTGAATGTGTGTTTTATTGTGTGTAGTTTTATAAATATTGCGACTCAAAGTTTGGTTTCGGCCGTCTACGACAAAACCAAAACTATCTGCTAGAGGTATGGCAACACCGATCACCAGCCGTACGGCCGCGACATGACGGCACCGATGGTACCAGTGGACGTACCGCGGTACAGCTATGGTGCCTGGAGTGCGTCCTATTCCATTCATACGTAAAGAGTGGTCCCAAAGTGGCAACAAATGACGTCACAGAAGCCAGAGTGTCGTGCTTTTGCCTGTCGCAATCCTGGCGGTCGGTCATAGAAATGCTGGTGAAAAGCACAAGCGAACGCGAGTGTCGCTGTCGTCACGGTGTCCCAACTTCCAACTGCTCTAGCTTCCGTGGACTCGCAATGGAGAGCGACCTGCAGCAGAACAGGCGTCTGGCTACATCCACCACAGGTGCTGGGGCACCACCAGGGTCTCGACCGGCGACAGCATGACACTTCTATCACGTTATCAAGTGGAAATCGAGGGACCACTTTTTTGGACGTGGTAAGCACACCAGTTGGAGACGTGTTCCAGGCACCATAGTACAGCCAATAGTGGTGCAAAACTATCGATAGTCGCCAGAAATTTGACTATCAATAGTAAAAACACTATCGATAGTCGACTATCGAAAAACTATATAGTACTATCGATAGTCGACTATTGAAAAGCTATGGATAGTACTATCGATAGTCGACTATCGGAAAATTATCGTTAATCGGCTATGGGAAAACTATCGGTAGTCTACTATTGTAAACTGTCAACGATTTGCTGTTTGTAGACCTTTGCAGAAATCGCCTCCTGCGCGCTGCCATCTTTGTCTGCTGGGCTGTGGAACGCCTCCCAAGCATGCGCTGTTGATCTGCTGTGCTGTATATGGGACGCTGCGCATGCGTCCACAGCTCAGTGACTCAGCCTATTTGCCCGCTCGCTTCGTTCGAGACTGCCGCTGGAAAGGTCTATAGTTTTGCGAAACTAGTAGTTTGCGTCGATCCCTTGTCTCCTTTTCTCGCTTTATTTTTTCAAATGGGACATAACTAGCCCAAGCACTTACCATAGTGGTGCAAAACTATCGATAGTATCAATAGTCGCCAGAAATTTGACTATCAATAGTAAAAAAACGATCGATAGTACTATTGATAGTCGACTATCGAAAAATTGTCCATAATCGACTATCGATAGTTCTGCGGCACTATTGATAGTCAATTTATCGATAGTTTTGCATCACTAACAGCCGATCAGCTGCAGCCAACAGTTGTTCTTCCACTTTAGCAGAGCGAACGCTGGAGAGGAGGTAGGTCGCCTCTTCTCCACGTTCACTTGCGCCCTCCAACAGGTGTTGCTCGAGGTCACTTTTACTTCGTTTCTCTTTTAGTGGCCGTTGAGGGTGCTGGGAGGAGGGATTCGGTAAAGCTCCTTTAGGATTCGCTAGGCAACTTAGGATTAGGCACTTCCCGGAGAAATGGCGGAATTTGTGTGCAGGAGCAGCGGCGCTAACAGGCATAGTGAAACTTATATAGGAGGCTCTGGTATAGCGCTTGTCCTTGTTCTTGATGCTTCAGTGTTTATTATGTAAAGTCATTACTGCTGGTAAATCAGTAATTGGGTTCTTCCAGGAACCACAGTCACAATGTCTTCGAAAGGAAGGCAAGCATTTATCGGCAAATTTTTCATTTTAACATTCAGTTTGAATTATAAAATCACCAAGATCTGAAAAGACGGCAAATCTACGTTCATATTGTTTTAGCCTTCAGGGAGTGCTTTTTGTAGGGGAACTAACAACTTATTTTTAATAGAAGTATGCCAAGGATAAAGTTTGACACAATGAAGCATAGACTGCACCGGGTGCAAACCATCTAAGGAGAACCTTTTATTTTCAGTCAAAATTTGCCTTTCTGGACTTTAAGTGGTCGGGATAATACGGCAGTAGAACCGTTGAAAGTACATTAGTTCGAAGTTCACTACTTTGTATAGAGGCTACAAGAGCTCAAAATATGTAAATGAGGTAATGGGTTTTGTGTGGTTTCACATTGGGGTTAATTCGGCGGTGCACGAAAGCACCCGATATCAAATGCCCCACGGCAAAGGCCCCATTCTTTTTGCCCCGCTTTCAGAAGCCCCAGTTTTAGAAGCCCATGATCGAAATCCTCCCATGTCAGGCAGGGTCCCCAACGCGACAGCGAGGCATTCTACCTTTAACTAAAAGATAGTAACGGTGCACGCGAGCTTGTGTAACATAATCATGCCGTACCAGGGACGCAAGTAAAGTAAAACTGGATAAAGCTTCCCATCTTTCAGGCATGCGCTATACAGATTCAAGTCTTGCTACATTAAAAGTGAAAACAAAAATTATCAGTCAATGGCAAAACATCTAAAGTTACAGCTTTTATCATCAAGCATTGAACCGAAACTTCCATAGACTCTGAAGCACGTGCAAATTCACAGTGCCGACGAAGTGGGTTCTGTCAAAACTGTTAACCTGCAGCTCATGGCTCCATTCTCATCACAGCACCAAACACCAGTTCCATACTTCTCAAGTCATTCTAAAAATATTTGTGTGCGTCTAGGCAGAAAAAGTCTAATTCTGCGTCCGAGCTATATCCACAGCAGCGAAGTGCATCACTGGGGATGCAGATTTATGCAAATGGCCTCTGCACTTGAAGTTAGCCTTATTTTGTTATTTCTTCCACTTTAAAGGGATGCTGAACCGAAATCTGGATTCCACAAAACATGATAGCAAAAGTGTGCAACAGGATGCTACAAACACCAAAACATCACTCATACAGCGATATCTCGAACGGATGACCGTATTTTTAAAAAAAAAGGCGCATTTGACAGAAATGTTTACGTCACGTCTTTCCGAGAAGGAGGGGGAACGGCCTCGCGTCTTTTCCGCCTCGCCGCCTTGAGGGAGCAAAGCGGAGAGAGAAGGAAACGAGGTATCTTCACGTCACGCGCCTCGTTTGCCTGGTTCAATCTTGACCTCTTTTTCCAAAAATACGGCCGTCCATTCGAGATATCGCCTTGCGAGTAGTGTTGTAGGGATTGTAGCGTCCCGCCTACATCTCCTGCATTGTTTTTTTAAATCCAAATTTCGGTTCACCATCCCTTTGACTCATTTGTAGACCTTCAACAAATTAGTTTAAGACATGGCACAATGCTGGTTGAAGCGCGAAGGAGGTCAGACGGGGACAGCGACGGGGCTTTTGGCACTCGGGGAATACAGGATGGGGTAATTGAATGAGGGGCTTTCGAAACATGGGAGTAATGATGCGGGGCTTTTGCGACAGCGAATCTGCATGCGGGACAATCGTGCTACACCCAGTTAATTGCCTTGTCTGTATTCATTCTTATATGGTTTTTACAAAAAAAAAAAAAAAAAAAATTAAAACAATAGCATGTCTTTACTTAAACAAAAATGTGATGTCCCTAGATACATATGCTCTGAAAAACTACCGCAAGCTAGGGCATTACTATCTTTATGATGGGAGTTGATTGCGACACAGTTCAAGCAGCATTAATTACTGAATTTTTTGGCTAGCACTTTGCATAGGCACATGAAAGGGGAATAACCACAAAGTGAAGCAATAGTATGTTTATTTTTAATCAGTGGCAATGTTATCACCACCCAGTGTGTTTGAGTCTGGGCTGTCTATCACGGCAGAACTGAATTTGCAAAGCTCTGCCACTCAAAAGGGTTGGGCACAGCCAGAAAACAGAACGACCATCTAATGGCAGGGTTTCAAGTCCGGATTTCTGTTTGCTCCCACTTGAGGCTGCAAAGAGAATGCAATGCAGAGACCCTAAATGCTTTGTAAAAGGCTCAAAAAAAAAAAAAAAAAAAAAACGAGTGCCAAGTTTGTGTGCTCGGCTGCACTGCACTTGCTTGTAAAAGAGGCAGTAATAGGCACAGAAACATCAGCTGGAGATTCCATAGTTGCATTCAGGAAAAAGCTGTAAAAGCTGACAGCAGGAATATATTGCTTTCAAAATTTGTGTCGGCAAACTAACAAAAACTGTGCACGATTAATTTGTGCTGATGCAGCAAAAAGCTGCAGGAATAAGCAAAAACTAGCAAAGAAAACCTGTCTGTCACTCTTTGACAATGGAGTTCTGCTAGGTAAACTGCATTGCACAACTTTGCTTTAGTGGCAATTTTTTTCAGACCTTTCTGCCCCTGGCTTTTGGACTGCCTGGAGGACCATCTGTAAGGAATGTACCTTTTCCCCAAAGTGTGTTTTGATTCGTTGAGCTGCATGAGGCTTCTCCCCGCCAGACAAATTTCAAGCTTCGCTTAGAACACTCACAAATCTTTGTCCGCTTTCATTAGGGCAATCGCACCATCACCTTCCAAGACTGTCGCTCCATGGTGCTCTGCAGCCTGTAGGGGATATTCAGAAACACCACCCCTCCATTCTTGAAGAACCTAAAGTACCTCTGAATCAATGTTGAACCATCAAACCTGTAAAAATGTGGAATATCTTGCAATTTCGTTTTCCACCTATTTGTGTCGGTTGCACAATATACCGCAATACGTCGGTGTAGAGCTGGCTCCCTTCGGCACCATTTCATAACGAGAGTTGTACACATCACTTGGCACACGACACGCGCAGAATACAAAAACTGTCGTTTGTCGCGGGCCGCAATGCACGTGTGGAACACACTGGGTATTTGAAGGCTCCACCGAAGTTCCGGGTCTTTTGAAACGGGCAGGAACCTGATGGTGCTAGGGAGCGGGCAGCACTCCGACGCCCACCCCTCCCTCGTGTGCGCACATGGAGGCGACGGGCGTCCAGCGGTCCACATCAGGATCGTACACCTCTACCGAGCTCAGGTTGGAGACGCCGTCGTAGCCGCCCACGGCGAAGAGGCGCCCGCAGTTGGCCACCAGGGCCACCCGGCTACGGGTCACATTCATGGGAGCCACAAACTGCCACTTCTGCCGAGCGGGGTCGTAGGCTTCGGCCGTCTGCAGGAAAGTGGCCCCGTCGTAGCCGCCGCACACATAGATCTTGCCCCGCAGCACGGCTACCCCGAGACGACAGCGGCGGGTCAGCATGGGGGGCATCAGGAACCACTGGCCCTTCTGTACGTCATAGCGTTCCACCTGGGGAGTCGAAATAAGCAACCCGCAAGCGACCATCAGAGTTTGGCACCTCGGGAGGAAAAGGAATTTAAGCTTCGTTATCCATGTGCAACAGGTTTGGACTGCGTTCAGTCTCACCATGGAGAAGTTGCACTAGTCCTACGTTCGCAGCGGACTTGCTTTGTATTTTTAGCGGTCGGCTCAATCGGAGTTATCTCGAAGGTTTTTAGCAGTCTCCGAGCAGACACCAAAGGTAAAGCCTGCATGTGCCACAAGTTCTGTTTCGGTTCTTGGTAACCCATTTCCGGGTTGCTCACACCATGGGGCAATCGCATTGACACAGAATATGCTTCCACACACCCCTGCAAACAAATGGAAAGGCTGGAAGACAAAAAAAGCTCCCCACCGATCCGAAAATGGAAAGTCCGTCGTGGCCACCAAGAGCATAGATGTGTCCGTCGAAGGCCACCACTCCAGCTGCACTCCTGTGCTTTGACATGCTGGTCACCATGGTCCACCTTACAGACAGTGCAGAGAAGGCCTTCAGTCTTTACAAGTCGAGTCAAAAGACAACACTGGCATTTCTTAATCAAGCAGCTCAACAAAAGACTCAAGTGTGAAGGCTGGTTAACAAGTTTGCGTTCCCTCGGAACGGCTTAACACTATACTTTGTTTCAGCTTAAGTCCAGATGCAGCTGATGCTACGAGCTAATGGGACCATTCAAGCAGCATCAAAAGTGCAAGTCATTAGGCCTTCTATGTTTGATTGGTTCAGCGATGGTAGAACACGTACGGAAACATGACGAGCACCCTTTTGACGCTGTCCGATTGGTCCCATCAGCTCGTAGCGTCGGCTGCGTCTGGATTTAAAAGCTGAAACGAAATATAGAGCCTATATTACAGAGTGTCAAAACTGCTCGATCAGGGTCACGTAGCTTATGGGCAGCGTTTCCAATACGAGCTGCGAGGAGGTGAGGAACAAGTTGATCATATGCGAGCATCTTTGGCTTTCCACCTGCTTTCCTCCTCATCATGCGACGACGCAGAGCATGCACACTTGCGACCAATCGGTGTGGGAGGTGTCTGCCATTAAATTGTGAGATCAAATCTATGCACTAAAATAATATCCGGAGAGATATCTCACCCCCAAAAGATAACCCACCCACATTTTTGGCATGATTTGCTAATTTGCCCTCGTCAATGATGACCATAACAAAAATGGTGTTACTTAGCCATGACGGGGGACAAGTGAACACTGGGAACAACAGTCGAATTTGGTTAGTCGCTCCTCCCTGTGACCGCAAGTTTCGCATGTCACAAAACCTAGAACATGGTTGGTGACAGGTTAAGAGTAAAGTGGAAGCTCCTCCCACCTCTTTCCATTTTAGCAGAGCAAACGCTAGAGGGGAGGTCACCTCATCTCCGGCGTTGTTTGCTCTGCCAAAGGGGAGAGAGCTGTGAGGAGCTTTCAGCGACTTTAGCACTTTTCAACTTCTTTATAATTGCACACCGAAAGTTCCCCCCCCCTTATTTTCACCCTATTTGCTTTTGTTTTAGGCGAGATATCTCTCGGGGTATTACGGTAGTCATAACGTTGCCGGAATTATTTCAAGCACATAGTGAAAAAATGATGCATAAAAAAATTCTAAAAATATACACGCAGGTCGGAGGTGTTGAGGGTTACCCGATATATGGCACCATTGTGCCAGTGTGTTAAGCAGTTACAGGAGAATCGTGTAATGTTATGCAAATATTCAAAGTTTAAAATAGTGGTTTCGAATAATACACTATTTGATATTTGCCTCAAGATGAACTGCAATATTCATATTTTTTGAAGTGCTGATCGCGGCGGGTTAGCACCTTACCGAGCACGGGTGCACTGCGGAGAAGCAACACCCGAGAAGGCGAGCTCCGTGGCTGTTGCTTCTCTGCAGTGCACCGGTGCACGATAAGAAGCGCACTCAACAGGGTAATCCGCCACGATCAACACTTGGAAAAGTATGAATAACGCAATTGCGTGCCTGGGAGAGAAGCACACTTTCAAAGCGGGACGGTGCGCATGTTTGTGAATGTTGATATCTACATTGCAGTAAAATGTTCAACATTAAACTATGGCTGTTTTGCAAGAGTATATGTTAGGCTCCATTTGAGGAGCCAAGATGCCCTGACAATGTGCATTCATCATTCGCAATTCTTTTTTTTATTTGACATTGAAGAAAGAACATTTGCACATCTCATGACTTGTAAATCCACTCAATTAGGTATATCTGGACGTCTCTACTAATTTAATTTTATGCCAAATCCGTCATTTACATGCCATCCCAAGGCATCAAACTTTCTGAGGTAACAGTCCACAAATATAGTTAGTAGATTCAAATTAGCTTAGAAATGGACAAGTGGAAGCCTGGGAACAACCTTCACGATTTTATCTGGGTTTTTGCTAAAGCATGGCGCAACAGTAGTGAAGGCCTTGGAAAAACTATTCAATATTCAATTATAAGATATTTGGTCAAACCACTATTTGCTTCTAACTCAAAATCCACTATTTGCACGTGATTATATTAGAATGCAATGCACTTGGTTACAGTGCACAAATGTGAGCCAGCCTTTACAGAAGGGCTTAACTGTATCCTCTATGACCCTAGTAAGATGGGCACTTTTGAGTGTTATTAGGCCACTGACAGCTAGCCATGTGTAAAAATGTGCAATAAAACCACTATTCTTTCATTTGAATTTGGTGCAAAATGATCTAGTCAATGACAAAGCCTCATCGTCATTTCTGTGTTTCCATCCTGTAGTATTCCTAACGCATCTCAAGAAAGTAGTTAAAAGGCAACTACGCTCAATTCCAAAAAATTTAGGCTTACATGTAATTCCATTTCACAAAGCACTACTAAACAACTCTACGTCTTCAGATTCGCAAAATGTGGAATATTATTTGTGTAATCTTAATTTAAACATCAGCTGATACCGAAACTTCGGTTGCGTCAGGCAACATTGATCTCGTGTCGTCAGAGTCATGGCCACGTCACGTCGAACCACGCAATCTTGTGACTTTCGTGGGGGCAAGGCACACGACACGCGACGCGGGCAGGTCACTTCGCATGGCGTGGACGGTGATAGCCCGGGGGAGAAGGGGAAGGGGAGAAGACGAAAAGGGAGAGGGGGAGCGGAGAAACAGACCGATAAGCGCACAGGGCAGCGCAAACTAGCGCATCCGCATTATGGTGATCACGTGGACGCCATTGAGCCAACACAGGGAGGAGAAACTCATGACGTCATCGTTCAATTTCGCTCCGAGAAGTAAAAACAAACAAAACATGAAAATGACGTAGAAATGCCTCTGACGTAATGGTTCAACGTTGGCCGCTCCAACTCCGTCGCATTGACTGCGCTGACGATTACGCCTCACGTCCCACGCTAGAGCTGGCAGATTTCGGCGACTTGGCTCATTTGAAAGTTTGCTGGCCAGTTTATTAAATATAGACAGAATTAGATCGTAATATTTGACATGGGGTCTTCCTATATGATACTGAAGAGGGCTCCATAGTTTTCTAAATATCAAAAATGAAGCGGAGTTGCCCTTTAAAGGAGATTCAGAAAAGTTCCACATCTTGAGAGTGGCTTTTTTAATGCACAAACTCCACAAAGCTTTCTTATTCCGCATCCAAAAGGTGGCACAATACTAAATCCAAGATGACAACAAAAAATTCAAATATCAGGGGGTTTGCATCCCAACATAGTATAAAAAGGATGAGCAACACCCCAGAAAAGAAATCTCGGTTGCACAGCAACTACACCATACATGGGTTGGATCATACTAGTAATTTACTGCACTCTCTTTTTTATTAATTTATAAACTGTAATCAACCACTTATGACTAAAAGCAGTTATGGTTGTAATTACTCTTTAGCCTCAGTAATTGCAAAATTTGAATTACAATTACTTTTTTAATTATTTTTTTTTTATGCTACAGCTTCATTCCATAGACTCACTGAAATTAGTGACTATAGAAATTATAGATGACATGTAAATGTGCCTTCATGAGATTGCAGATGGCTTAGCCAGAATTTGAACCAGCCAACTGAGGTCTGTACGTTGGCAGATACATAAAAATGTACAAAGAGATACAGTAAGATTTGAGGAGCCAAGATAACACAAGGTGGTCGGAGCAAAACTGATGTCCAGTTTGACAGGTCTCTATATCCCAAAGGGCGGACTCACTCATTTTTATCTGGATTGTAGCACTCCACCGTGTTGAGAGAAGAAACTCCATCGTAGCCACCACAAACATAGAGCTTCCCATAGAGCACCGCGGCTCCGACAGCACTGCACAGTATCAAGTAATGTTTTAGCACAAGGGAACCACCCAATCTCAGCAGGCTGGGGGTGCCAAGAGAAGGCAATTGCCCACTTTCGATGTTTGCAGTAAAATGCCACCAGAGCAGGCAAAATAGTTTTCACTCATGTTAAGGGAGCTAGTGTCTGTATTAAAGGTTTTTTACTTAGCTTTCTCTGGCTCTAACAAGATCTATCAGAGGCAAGCGGGGAGGAAAGGATTAGTAGAACGCCATGACTATGTTAGACCCACATTGAGAGTGCATCAGCCATTTGTAAGGGACGGCTCTCCAGGGTGGCATGAACGAATGGAGTCCTTGGGACCTTGGAGAGATGCTCCCTGCAGTTGGTTTATAGGCTTTCGGCATGGACCAAACGCTTTCACAACGTTCCATCCCCCCTTGCTTCTTTTTGTGCACCGCCCCCCACCAGAAGTATCACTTTGAACACACTTTTTATACCAAATGGGGCACATATGCCAGCAAGTTGTGGATTTCCAGAATTTTTGGAGAAGGTGAATCAAGTGATAGCCATAAAAAGACAGCATGAAAAACTCTCAAAGTGCATCTTTGAGGGAAATAAAAAAAACGAGAATGATGTGGACGCTTATTTTTGTAGACACCATTCGGAAACCGGTCCTGAATACCAGAGGCCCTAATCTATACGGCGGGACCGGGACATTGCCGCCTGCTGCAACTAGCCAGCGGTTCAGAGCTCGCCAATCGCAGTAGGCGGCAATGTCCCGGTCCCTTGGTCCTGCCACGTAGATTAGGGCCCCAAGAGTCCTTCAGGACCAATCCCTGAACCATCCTCATCTTTTTGTACAGCCCGCATCCCTCACTGCACCTGCTCTGCTTCAAACTATGAGCAACCCTGAATAATATTTATTTCTCTGCTTAGTGACATTACTTTTCACGCGAGAAGGCTATCTTCGATTTTGCAGATATGGGTTGTGGCCGACGCGTAGGAAAGTTTCGAGTGAGCGTACCTGCGCTTACAGTTCATGGAGCACACCCTGCTCCACAGCCGAGTGTCAGGACTGAACACCTCGACCGTGCGAAGCCGCTCCACTCCGTTGTAGCCACCAATGGCGTAGAGCTTGCCGGCTACTACGGCCACGCCGACGCGACTGCGAGTCATAGACATGGCCTCGGCCACCTGCCAGTGGCCAAGCTTCGGGTCGTACACCTCTACCGTGCTCTGGGAATCACCTGCACGTGGCAGAGAGAATTTTAGCTTGCACCAGGCTGCTCGACTGATGCCATCCTCAAAGTCACCAGTTTGCTTGTTCTGTAGGTATGTGTTATATTGGTTAGCAAGAGTGAATATACACATGCTGGGTGAGGCAGCTACATCTACACACATCAGCGGTACAGCTGCGACAGAAAAAGATTCGCACAAGTTACCGATGGCCGGAATGACAGAATCGCGACACATGGCGCTATCATTTCCGGTCGCGCCGAAAGCGAGAGTGCCAGGTTTTGCTCTATGTCACAAAGCGGGGTGGCCGGCAGAGAGCAGCCCATTCTAAAGCGTGCATTTCGAAAGCAATCTTACCCCTCACTTTTTCGGCTGAGTGATGCACCAACATGGTTATGCACGTAAGCCAGTTTATATTTTTTCTATTTATTCTGCGCGGGCGTTATGAGCGGCGATATTTCCTTTATTGCTATTTTCCCCTAAACCGACAATAAACCCCTTTCAGAAGACTACATTCTGTTGGCAGCTGTGGAATCCCTGCACAATGACGGACTAAAACCGCAGCGTCACAGCACACTTTATGCATTTGGTTGCATTAGAAGGCAAAAACACACTCGCATAAAAAGGTGACGAGTGCAGTGATGTTACGCTTTTGACGCTGTTTGATTGGGCTCGTCGGCTCCTAACCTCTCACAACGCTTGCGTAAGAAGGTAAGAAGTAATAATAAACGGGCTCATGTGCGCAACCATGTTGGTGCATCGCTTGGCCGGGAAGAGAGGGAGATAAGATGGGTTTCGAAATGCAAGCTTTAGGGTGGGCTGCTTTCTGCAAGCCACCCCCACTTTGAAACATGGAACGTGCATGGCACTCTCGCTATCTGCGTGCTCGGGAACAACAGCACCGCGTGTCCCGAGTTTGCTGCTCCTGTCTTCGGTCACTTGTACTAATCTTTTTCCGTTGCAGCTGTACACTAATCCACTCAGTTGGTACTGGCATTTACTTGCTTGGAAGTTCACCAATATATGCATTTGTCAACAAGGTAGCCTCGTATAGTTTAGCACAGTGCAGAATTGAAATGCCAATTCCAGGATTTTTTTCCGAATTTGCCCTATACTTATGGTGCCCTTCCATGAAACCACATCTTCTGTTCTTGTATGCTGCACGTTTGTCCGGAAACCCAGCAACGGCACAGGAGGTCCCAACAAAACGCGACATGGATGCTAGTCTGGAAGAGGCCTGTTCCAAAGGCAAGTAAACTTCCTCTACCGGGGGTGGCCGCGGCAAGCCAAAGGTGCCCCACCTGCCTTGGTGAGCCCACCAACGGCGTAGATGTGCCCTGCTGCGTCGGGGCAGCAGCGTGAGCGTGTGCGGAAGCCGCGCAAGAGCGGCCTGCGCTCGGGCATAAGCAGGTAGTCACGAGCTTCGTCCAACAGGTCTCTGCAGCGGTGGCAGCCTCGCACCAAGGGCTCTGCCGCAACTCGGTCCGCCAGAAACTGGGGACTCAGTAGTGGGAGGCGCACATGAGACAACAACTCAGGCAGCAACTGGCCGCGGGCGTCTGCGTCGTGAAGCACCCACTGCATCACCGCCTCAAACACCTGCAAGCGAGTGAGTCCGGCGGTCTGTTCATGGAAGCATGTGGAGGCATGTCTTCTGGTACTAGTCGTTCTACCCTTCAAGTTGACATTGCCTCAGGTATCCAAGTTTTAAAGTGTAGCCTTTACTTGCTTTAAAATGCCTCGCAAGGCTCAGTAGGTGGGATTGCATCCACAAAAAGTTAAGGGGGGAAAAAAAATCACAAAAAAGGTATGAATGTTAATGCAGAACCCTTCCACTCTATATTCTTGCAATTGGCATTGAACTAATCGTAATCACCTCAGTTTCAAACTAGTCTTTCTCCTTGTTTGATGAGCCAGTGCAATGCTGAGCTCAGTGGATGCACCATTACCAAGCTTATGTGGAATGCTCAAAAATGGCATTGCACTGTTTGAATTAACTTCAAACTGCAATGTTCTGGCTAGTATCTTCCTCCATACATATGCTCCAACTGTGGGTTTTAGCACAATGCGTGTTTAGCATAGCGTGACTCCAGCTGGCAAATTAATAGTGCTGGTAAGAGCAACGTTTAGCTTACTTGTTCTTCAGAGACAACGTAGATCTCATCCCAGCCAACAATCTCAATGGCGTCCGGCAGAGTTAGGGCGAGAAATTCCTCCGACTGGGATACCTCCAGAAAGTGCTTGCGGATGAATTTGTTGGTGGCGTCCACAAGCGCCGGGCAGCCAAGAGCATCCGCAAACGCCCGCACGCCCAGCACGTTGTTGGGGTGGAGCCTGTTTCAACCGTTACAAAAAAGAATAAGAATATTGCCGGCATGCATGGCGTGCAGCCACTTACCTTTTCATTAAAAATTCGGAACAAGCTTCTCTAACTTTGAGTAGCTGTAGAAAAGATGAGCCCACTAGCAGCGACTGAACGTTCGAAGCCGTGATATTCACTTTTCCACTGTATGCAAAGTTGATCAGAGCTTCCAGTGCTCTGGAAAAGAATTGAAAGTGAAGTGCACGAACGGAATTCTCGCAACGCGGAAGTGTCCTCGTTTGTTGCTTTTAAAACAAAACAAAAAGAGAGAGACAGTAAAAAAATAGGTGTTGGAACTTACGAAGCTTCAATGCCTCGAATAGTAATCTCCTTCTGCTTGCTCTCGATCATGTCGTGGGTGAACATGGCGTAGAAGTAAGGGATTGTTGAGGCGAGGACGATGCGATGGGCCGTGAAGATTTCATCGTCAACCTGCAGAACGCAAAAATGCTTGTCGTTACAGCAGAATCGTTGGAAGCTCGGGACTGGCATCAGATCGTTCATCTTACTTTCAGAGTTATGTCGCACAGCTTTCCCTGCCTACGGATTTCCTCAATCAATACAAAACCTGAAGATGGAAGATCAAGCTGTGAAAACAAGTAACATTCGTCCGCCGCCATGTTTGTAAACATGGGAGAGAGTTGGACGAGACACGAGAGAGAGAAGGAACGGAAAAAGGAGAGGCGTTTACGGCAAGGGTTCACGGCGTCGATGATCCTGACCACAGATCCTGACCATTATGACAATCATGAGAGCCAGCAGAACTCGAGTCGCAGACGTTATTCTTTTAGTGTCACCACTCCTCTCGTTTTAAAGAGAACCTGACTATTTTTTATCAACCATTGATAATGACAATTTGCTGGATCGCGCATCCCCGCTTCCCCCGCCTGGTCGCTTCAGCCGCAGCAGCGCCAGTGCGGCCACCGGACGGCCATATTGGGACACTGAATAATCAACCTTTTGGAGCGTTGCGGAGCCTGGGCAGCAGGGTGCTGAAGACATGTTTTCTGCTCGTTCGTCGTCATTCGCCCGGAAACGTTTCTTAAAAACTTGTGTAAATGGTGAAAATTGCCTTTAACAACACGTGAAAAATTTTCACAAAAGCGCAGCACCACAGGAAGACGGTAGAACGCGTTGAACGCGTCTCGCCGGTCTTATGGCGTGATCAAAGCTTCCCTGACACGCCGAAGTGCTGCATCTCTGCCATCTCTAGCTTCGCACGCCTGGATACCGATCAAGAATAGACGCCGTGTGGATTTGTTTCGTGAGTGTAACGTGCGTGAAGACGTATGTGCCTCTGGAGCACCGTTATACTTTGCTTGAGTGGCGCAGGCAAAAAAATATAACCCCCCCCCCAAAAAAAAAAAAAAGTCGTAACTTTTTTCTTTTTTTTTTTAATTGACTACGGTGACAGGGCCCTTCACTTTAGAAACTGCACTACGGTGACGGGGGCAACAGCAACCGATACTAATGTCCAATGGATACCCCATTCCTGAAGCTCTTCATGGTGCTCACTGGTGGTGCTGAAATACAGTGTTGGCTTCACGTGCTAGGGGTGTACGGTTTGAATCGCGTTCTGGACGATACTTTTTTTTCACTTTTTTTTTTTTATTTAGGTCACACATGCTATATTTACGTGTAGGGACAGGGACAGGGCCGCGAAGCGTGGGTTAATTAATTACAAGTTATTAATTCTCACTATTCCCACCACATACAACACAGGACGGGCCCCCTCACTCTTGCCAGCCGCACTACGGTGAGGGGCCCCTCACTTTTGCCTACCGCACTACAGTGACGGGCCCCTTCGTAACTTTCAATAATGCCGCATGATTGAATTGTCAGCAATGTGGGTTAATGCAGGGGGAGGGAGGGGGGGCTTAGGTTAAAGCGTGTATAAATTATAAGCATTCCCACCGTTTCGTTAGACATAGACCGCACCGGGGGACGGGGCCCCTCACTTTTGCCTACCGCACTACAGTGACGGGGCCCCCTCACTTTTGCCAGCTACACTACAGTGACGGGCCCCCTCAACATAGTGAGTGCCTTTTTTTTTTAGTAAAGGAAGACAAATATTGAATGATTACCGAATTGTTTCAGCCAGCCAGGGTGTTGGGCACGGCTGCGTCCGTACCCATGAATTGTACAGTACCTCGACTAATACACGCGAAGATGAAACAAAAAAAGAAAACAAACAAAAACAATCGTGGCTACGTGATTGCTACGATTGTATTTGTAACTTGCTGCACTCGTGGTCCAGGAACGTGAAAAAAAATAATTAATTTCGCCGTTTTATATTTTTGGGTTCAAAAACCTGCCTTTCTCCACAGCGTTGCTCCATTTGTACCAGTATTAAATATCAATACGCAATTATTTGTGCGCGGTACTTCGTTAAAATCTAGACGTAAAACCGGTGAAACTATGAAGTCACGTGTCTAGTGATGTCTATACTCCGCGACAACTTTTCTTGGCAATGCAGTGGAAGGTACAGGCCCGCGTCCCCTCTCCCATTTTGAGTGTACGTAGGCTCTCCTCCTCCGCCATTTCCGGGGAGAGGAGGAGAGCCCGCGCACACCAAAATGGAGCCCGCGCACACAAACTGGGAGAGGGGACGCGCGCCTGTACCTTCCACTGCATTGCCAAGAAAAGTTGTCGCGGAGTATAGCGACACCACTAGACACACAGAAATGCAAAACCACATTGAGTGCCGGTTGGAACTCGGCATCAGAAAAATAACTGAACTTAGCACAGAAGGCAGCCAGGCACCCGGCAGCAAACCCTGCCTGTCTTGGATGCAGTTTCCTCCTTGCAGTTTCCGCGGTTTTTACTATTTCTGACCAGATTGGCTTCAAATAGCTAGCAATGGCTATTAGTGAGTATAATTGGCAATTGTGTGCTATTTCAGTGTTTATGGATGAAATTGCCTACAAGTGGCTATCATTGGCTATGAGCATCTATTCTTTAAAGGGGCACTGACACATCAAAATCATTTTTTTTTATTATCCGAAACGATTGAAAACGATGCCGGGACATTACCCTCAAAATTTGAAATTTGGGAGTTCAGTATTTGTGAAGTAAAAAAACAATTTCCAAATGCCGAATTCGAAGTTCCCGCGCGATCGGCGCCGGTGCCTTGACGTCAAAAATCGCGGAGACCTGAGAGTCGACTTTCTTTCACCACTCCCTGCTGTTGCCATGGCGACCCAAAGCGAGGAGGAAAGGAGTGAGCGGCGGCGTTACGGCGGACCGGTTTTGAGCGATGTCGCCTGTTTTCCGTTGGAGGATACAAATCCAGGAGACGGCACCACAACGAACTCCCGATTTTTGGTATTTCAAAAAGAAGGGCCGTAGTGCGTTCGCAATTGCGTTAAAAAACATGTTTTACGATTGCCGTAATTAAATGTTATAGAGATGTCGCCTACAAAGCTTCTAAATTTCCTGATTTTTGACGTCACCGATCAAAAGAAGCGAGGAGGCGAGAGGCGGGAAAATCAAACGCCAAAAATAAAAAGGCGCGCGCGCGCGCGGGAAAATTTTTTTTCGCGATGCGGTTTTTTTTGCCTGTCTATGACTGCAACTTGCATCGTTTTAGACAATAAAAATAAATACGACCTTTGGGGTGTCAGTGCCCCTTTAATAATTGGCTTGAAATGGCTACAAATGGCCATTAGTGACTAGTGTAGATAGCTATGAGCATTTTTGTGTTACTAACTGGAATTACTTTTAGCGGCTGTTGTCGGCTTTTAGCATCTATCTGTGACCATATTGGCTTCAGATGGCTAGCAATGGCTATTAGCGAGTATAATTGACAATTCTGTGCTACTTCAGTGTTTTTGGATGAAACTGGCTATTACTGGCTATAATCATTTAGATTGTCTTAAAATTGCTACAAATGGCTAGTAGTGACTAGTGTTGATATTTATGAGCAGGTTTTATGTTTACTAATTGGAATGGCTTTTAGTGGGTATTGTTGGCTATTAGCACCTATTTCTGGCCAGATTTGCCTCAAATTGCTTGCAATGGCTATTAACGAGAATGATTGACAATTATGTGCTATTTTACTGTTCATGGACGGAACTGGCTGCAAGTGGCTATTATTGACTATAAGCATTCATTCTTTATTAGATAGCCTTGAAATAGCTACAAATGGCTATCAGTCGGTAGTCTTGATAGTCATGAGCAATTGTAGTGTTTACTAACTGGACTGGCTTTTGGTGGCTATTGTTGGCTATTATCATTTATATCTGACCAGATTGGCTTTGTGGCTAGCAATGGCTATTAGTAAGTATAATTGTGATATCCACGAACAGCCATTCATATCCATTCAGCGGATATTCACGAATAGCCATTCGAAGCCAATCTAGTAAAAAATAGATGATAATAGCCAAAATAGCCACATGAAGCCATTTCAGTTTGTAGACAAAGATATAGCATCTAATTATAAATACTAGTCACTTATAGCCATTTGTAGCCAATTCAAGCCACCCAGACCAAGAACGGATACTTATAGCCAATAATAGCCAATCAAAGTCAACTTTGTCAAGGATAGCTGCTATAGCCAAAAATATCCAGGTGAAGTCACTCAAATCTATACATTGTAAATAATAGTTGCTGATAGCCATGTATAGCCATTTCAAGCGAATCTAATAAACATAGATGCTTATAGCCAATAATAGCTATTTGAAGTAATTTTCATCCATAAACACCAAAATAGCACAGAATTTTCAACTATATTCACGAATAGCCATTCATAGCCATTTGTCTGGTGAAAAATAGATGCTAATAGCCAAAAAAGTCACATGAAGCCACCTCAGTCTGCACACAATCAAATAAGTTGAAATAGTGACTAATAGCCATTGATAGCCACAAGAAGTCATTTGGACCGTGAGTCTGCCATATAATTCAGAAATAGGATCAAATAGCAAATAATAGCCTACTCAGCCTGCACACAATCAAATAACTCAAAATTGTGACCAATAGTCTTTAATAGTCAGTAGAAGTCAACGTTACTAAAATACTCAGTTGGGAAACTCGCCGTCGAAACCTGGGCCGCTGGCGTCCACCGAGACCGAGCTAAATGCGACAACAGCGCCACTCTTTATCGTTTGTTTGTACTGTGGTTTGTACAAAAGGTACAACTCGTCGAAAACATGTTTTCGACGAGTTGTACCTTTTGATACGGCTTCACGCACATTGCACTCGCGAAACACATCCACACGGCGTCGATTCTTGGTCGGTATCCAAGCGTGCGAAGGCACAGAGACACGGCACTTCGGCGTGCCAAGGAAGCTTTGAACACGCCGCCAGCCCTTCCTTTCGACGCGCTGTGCCTTTTTCCTGCGACACTGCACTTTCGTAAAATTTTCCACGTGTTCACGACGGCAAGTCTCAACAATACACAGAGTCTTCAAAAAACTTCTTCGGCGAATGACGACGAACGAGTAGAAAAAGTGTCCACAGCACGCTGGAAAACCGCAGCAAAGGCTAGCAAAAACGGCAAATCGTATCCCAAGCGAGTGAAGTCCGGTGGCTTCACCTGCGCTGCAGCGAACAAGCGGGGAAGCGCGATCCAGCAATTGTCATAGAGATCAGTGGCAAGGACGTTTAAACAGACAGGACAGACAGAACGGGTTCGTTTCGGCCGGCGCTCCACGAGTGGTTGCACTCTCCGAGTTCGTTTCAGCGCTGACACCCCACGCGTGCATGCACTCGCTGCACCGAGAAAATCGGGAGTGCGCCAAAATGCAATCCCGTCATGCCTCGCTCCGGTGGGGCCAGCGAGGAGCGGGAGCAGACGACGAGGGTTCGTCTACTACGATGTGTCGCGGAGCCGAACGAAAAAAAAAGAAAAAAAGTAGATTTTCTGA